GACATTGTCACCTAAAAAATTTTTAAATAAATTCTTCATTAAAAAAAAATCAAAAACAATCTAGTCAATAAAATACAATACCATAGAAGTGGATGGATCTCCATCCTATCAGTTGTCTAACTCATTGCTTTCGAAAAAAGTAGGTCCATCAATTTAACTTAATAAATTTTGATGCATATTTGTGTCCTATTTACATAAACTAACTAAAAGATAGTTTCAGAACATTTTGGAATTCAGTTACAAAAATAAAAAAGAATAATCAAATGAAAAAAGTATAAAAATACATCCTTTTCTAAAACTTCAGAAGCAGAGCCTTGTTTTAAAAAGTTATTTATTTTTAAATGATCTGAAAAAGTCAAATTTTCAATACATAAAAATGTTAAAGAAGGAATAGCACAGGCTGGAGCAAGTGTCTTTTTTTATTATTTACGACTTTCTTTTCTTTTCAGTAACTGTGGAGTATCAGTTTCTGAACTTAAATATACAAATTTGTGATAAAATACATTTCTATAAAATAATGAAAGTGAACCAACATCATAATATGATGATCATCACCTAAATTACATATGCTCATCATCATCATCACGTATATCATATCATCATCGCAATCATCATGATCATCACTTGGTAGGACAAAGACTTTTCTGAAATTTGTTTACTTTCTAAATTTATCAGGTCTTACCGTCGTTGATTGAAAAAAAGTCTGAAGAAACTTTTGCCATACGTAATTTTTCTCTTGTTTAGTCATATGTAACTAAAAAAAATCAAAACAAAAAATTTTTAGAAAAATACTTCAAAATAAAAAACAAACAAAAAAATTATATACTAAAGAAAAAATATATATTTGTAAAAATATACATATCGGGTGGACACGGAAAAATCCGGTCATCTTTAAATTGAGATTTCTCCAAAACCACAAATGCTTTTTATTTAATTTTTTTTTAATTAAACCTCACTTCCTTATCTTAAATGGTGTTGATAAATTTTTGTTTACAAATTAATGATTTGCAAAATGTTTTGGAAACAAGTTTAGGTGCGTAAAAAAGTTGTGAATTTTTTTTGCAAAAATCCATCGACTTCCTATCGCTTGATTGCTAAACGTACAAATGTCCCAAAATCTACAGTCATAGATATTATAAAAAAGTTCAAGACTACTCAAAGCTTCGAAATAAAACTTGGAAGTGGAAGAAAAAAAACTTTCCATAAATCTAAAAAGGTAAAGTCGATTTTATGTTCAATAGTAAGAAATCCAAATCAGTCACAGCGAGATCTAGCAAGAAAATTTAAGACTTCTTGTTCTTATATCAAAAAAGTACTTAAAAATGCTGGAATTAAAGCATTTCATAAAAAAAATACACATAAGAGAAGCTTAAATTGTGAAATTAAAGGAATTTGACGCGCAAAGAAGTTGGTTAAAATAATGGCAGATAAAAATATGTGCATAATTGAAGACGACGAAACGTTTTGCAAGGCGGATTTTTCACAACTTCCTGGTCAATAGTTTTACTATGAAAACAAAAGTAAACCTGTCGATGATCAGTTTATATATATTCGACGAGAAGAATTTGCATCCAAGTTCCTTGTGTGGCAAGCAATTTGTAGCTGTGGTATGCAGTCCTCTTGTTTTGTCACTAAAAGGACCTTGACTGCCAATCTCTACATTAAAGAATGCCTCCAAAAAAGACTTTTGCCTTTTATAAAAAAACACAAATACCGATGTCTCTTTTGGCCCGATCTTGCTGCCTCTTACTATTCTAAAAAAGTTTTACAGTGGTGCAAAGATAATAATGTGAAAATTGTTCTTAAAGATGCGAATCCTCCAAATTGTCCTGAAGAGCGCAAGATTGAAGATTTTTGGGCAATAGTTAAAGGAGTTCTTCGTAAGACAGGTGGACTAACAAATAATAAAAAGGACTTCCAAAAAAAGTGGATTAATGCCACCAATATGGTAAAAAAAGAAAAAATCTGTAAAATGATGGCATCAACCCGCTATAAAGTTCGATTTCTTGCCAAGCAACCCATCAACCCCTTTAAAATTAAGTTAAAACTCTAATTTATGTAAACACATTTAATTATAAAAAAAATTGAAATAAAAAGCATTCATGGTTTTAGAAAAATCTCAATTTAAAGTTGACCGGATTTTTCCGTGTCCACCCGATAAAACAACTAACCAGAGTTATACAAAATAATTTTATCATAATCAATCTAATCATTCATGTAATCTTTACATTTTTTAATGGTAAATGTGGTGAGTCTTATAGAACCATCCACAAATACCATTTGTTATCTAACTACAAAAAGTTAAAAAACAAATCAAACAAATTAACAAAAGAAAAAAGAAATGAGAACAGAAAAAGGAAAGACAAAAAAAACTAAAGTTAAAAAAAAAATACATTCAATAATGAAAAGTAATTAAAAAGGAATTAATATAAAGTATAAAAATTGCTCCATTTTGTAAAAAAGAAAAAAGAATATTTTTTAAATTTTATTATTTTGGAGTGACAATATATGTTTGCATGATATGATTTACTTTTTTATTTTAATATTGTCATTTATTAGGAAAACTCTGTACTTTTAATTGAATAATTTTTGTTTTGATTATTTATTGTTATTTTTTAATGAAGTAACTATTTTACTTTTATCGTTTTTATTATGATTATTGATATTAAAATTATTATTTTTATTAACTTATTGTTACCTTTTTTTGCAGTAATTGTTTTAGTTACATGGTAGGTTGTTACATTTTGTCAGTACACAACTGTTTGTAACTTTCCTGTCTGTGCATTATATTCAATTATTGTTTTAAAATTAATATTGGTTTATTATCATATAATTATCTTGTTGCTCGTATAAATTTCAATTTATCATCATTGTTATTATCATTATTTGTATTATTATTGTCATTATTTGTATTATCAATCCTATTTTATGGTATTTACTTAAGATTAGTTTTTAACTATTTGTAAATGGCATCAACTGTAAGATCTTTTATGGAAAAATATATTGATTGATTGATATCCAATTTACATGAAAAACAGCCACTGAATATATATATATACCCAGCAAACATGCTTTCAGCGGACCGTGATGCGCAAAGCCGCCGCCGGTAAGCCAGTGCTGACCCTTTGTTATGCCTAATGCGGCTTGCCGCTGCCTGTTGGCTTTCCGTCATCGGCCGAAGAGCGATAAAACACTTCGTCGCCAATGCAATTTTAAATGGGCATGCCAGCTTCTGTAAGTTCATCAGGATACGCTGTAGCTTTGCCCACACAATGCCAAAGTGGGCTTTTGGATGGCGGTAAGCTGTCGTAAAAAACATCAAAAGCAAGCGTTTCAAGCGCCATGAGACTTTGATTGGTCGATATCGATAACATTAAATGGAAAGTTATTAAACATTAAATGAAAAGTTGTGGAATATATATACTCATATAGTTTATACGTCTTTATATAATATAAAGATATCTTTATTATGTTATGTTACATATTATGAGTCTTCGTAATATATTATATTATAAATACTCGTATATCTAGATATACGAGTATTTATAATATAATATATTATGAAGACTCATAATAAGAGTAGATGAGTCATATAAAACTCTCTATGTTATTTTATATTCAATTTCATGTATAACTTGAAATTAAATGTGAACTATAGACTTTATATAGTATATACTATATAAAGTCTATAATTCACATTTTATTTCAAATATATATTTCAAGTTATATACGAAATTAATTACTATATGTAATTTTTAAGTTATATATGAAATTAGGTACCATATTATAGGCTATGTATGAATGGTATCATATGTTATATATGAATTTACGTATCAAATAAATTTGTTTTATATTATTATTATACAACAACTTGTATATGATACATAAATTCATATATAACATCATGTCATATGATATATCATATGACATACGATATGTTGTATATAAATTTACGTATCATATATAATATTATATTATATAATAACTTGATATATTGAGTTATATATTGACTTATATATATTATATACTTAATATTATATAATATATGATACGTAAATTCATATACAAATATTGATATGTTGTAATATTAATACAACTTGAAATACATATATTTGATTTAAAAAATAAATTATAGACTTTATATAGATGTATATTGACTTATATTGATGATTATATACTTTCATATGTCATGATGAGTTATGAAAGTATATATATATATATATATATATATATATATATATATATATATATATATATATATATATATATATATATATATATATATATATATATATATATATAATGGGAAATATCTGTATCTACTACGTATCATTATTATTAATTATTGCGCTTTACATTATATAATATATATTATACAATGTAGAGCGCATATTATATAAGGTAGGGTTAAATAATAATTAATGAAAATCTGTTTTAGTGAAAAGAATTAGCAAAATTAAGCTTTAAGGTTGCTTATTTTAATTTTTATTTAATTTAATATTTTTAATTTTTAAGACTTTTTTTTAAGATTGTCTTGAAAATTATTTTGACTTAATGTCACACTTTGATTTACTGATTTACTAATATTTATTTGCAGGTTTAGTTGCTTTTGTCTCCATGTTGTCCAAGGGTTATGTCGGCCATGATCCTAATATTATCATGGGTTTAGCAGAGTTGTTTAACTTGCAAACTGGATTGAAGATTTTGAATAAATTTTTGTGTTCTTAATATGGTCACATGTTTGTACTTGTTTAAAACCCTCAATCATTTGAAAATTATGGCGCCGGTATGGTAGTTATTCTAATTTTATAGCTTTCATTTTTCTCAAGTTATTTTCATAGTTTTTTATATTGAGCTACACTTTTGTTTGTACAGTGAAAACTATGTTCAATAATAAAACTATAATTTTATTTAGACATGGTAGATGTCCTAGAAAAAACTGGTAGCAACTCAATGTAGATACACATAGTCGATGGAGTTACTTGCTAATAACTGGCAATGAGACATATTTACTTCAAATGATGCCTTTAAAGTTTGAAAAGGTTAGTTTATTATGCTCGTCTTAAATGGATAGTTTTTATATTTTAATTATAAATCAGTGTCTGCTTTAATATAATTATCATAAAAACTAGGCATCTGAAAACATTCCTGCAATTTAATATCATGATAGTGACTTACTCTTGTCTTTTTCATGTTTAGATTTTTTCTAATTCAAATGTCGACTTTTTGTTACATGAAAAAAGATACTTATTTCAACCCCTCGACTATATTGGTAAGTAGAGCATTAGTCAGAAGTTGTATTTAAGCTTACTGTTTATTAAGTTTTACTTTTTTCAAGAAAAGCACATAATATGACTTTATTTTTATATAGCTTTTTAAAAGTAGTTACATAACTTTTCAAATTAAACAATGTTTTTGCTGTTTTTATCTGTTAAATTATGTTTTAATATTAAAATGAATTTTACATTTATTCAATGCAGATACACTTAGTATGTGGAGTTACTTGTCAATAGCTGGCGATGAAACTTTTAAACGCCTTTAAGGGCTGAGAAGGTTAGTTTGTTTCGTTATAATAGCTCTAAACTGAAATGTTTCAATATTTTGATTGGATATTGTTGTCTGCTTTTAGGTAAAAATTAGAAGTCTGCAGACTGCAACGTAAATCGATTTCAACACGTTATGGCTTCTCGAATATATTTAGTTTCCGATTGAAATGAGAATAAACTGAACTTATATATAAAGTGTTTACAATTAACTTTTTAAACTAGAAATACTCCAAAGGAGGTTCTCCAAACGCAAGTTAAGCAAAGTCGATAAATATTAATATCTTTTATATTATGTTTTAGATATAAAAAAAAATTTATGTGACTTTAATATTTATGTTATAATTGTAAATTGCAATCTTAAAAGGATTTTATTATTACTTCAGATTGTTCTTTTTGTTCATATATTTGTTCACCGAGCTTAAGCGTTGCAACGATAATATAAAGGTAAATGATTTACAGTTATGGTAGTGTTTCTTTATGTTATGAGTATTATTTACTAAATTTGTGTTGATTTATTAAGTATTTAATGGCTATATACCTAAGCACAAAGTTAAAAGGTATTTGATGTGCTTTCCAGGCTTAAGCAGGGTTTGCCATTCATTTTAGCGTAAAAATTGAGCTAAAAATATTTAAAAATTTCCTTTAAGTGCGTTTTGTTCAAATAAAAAAAAAATAATGATATGCATATTAATGCATTCCAATCTTGATCAAAACATATAAAAGGTCCTATGTTATTCCGCTATCGTTTTCTCATCGGTTTGCCGCTGACGGACCGTTGTTAAAAATTTTGCGATTTGCCGCCATCGGACCGCTATCGAGCCGCATGCATATTGCTGCTAACGGACCGATGTAAATACGATGTGCAAGCCTACGCGGCAACGCAGCGGGCGGCCGACGTCGGCACGGCATAAGTGCTGACAGCGGTCCGTTGTCGGTCCGACTGCTCAATGTTTGCTGGGTATACCCAGCAAACATCGAACAGGCGGACCGTTAACGGACCGCTGTCAGCACTTATGCCGTGCCGACGTCGGCCGCCCGTTGCGTTGCCGCGTTTGCTTGCACATCGTATTTACATCGGTCCGTTAGCGGAAAACTGAAGGCGGTTCGACAGCGGACCTATGGCGGCAAATCGGCAACGTTTGAACAACGGTCCGTCAGCGGCTAAACGATGATAAAGCCATAGCGGAATAGCATAGGATCTATAATAAGTTTTGACTAAGATTTGAATGCATTGATATAAATATAATTATTTTCATTTTTTTGTTTGAATAGAACGCACTTATTGTTAGCAAAAATCTTTATATCTTTCAGCTCAAATTTTTACTCATAAAAAAATGCAAATCCTACCAATGCCTGGAAGACACATCAAATATCTTTTGACTTTGTGCATAGGTATATAGACAAAGAACGAATTTATTATACTAAAATTCTTCTACCACCGAAAAACACTACCCCAACTGTAAACTATTAGGTAATACGTGGCAAGGCTTAAGCTTGGTGAACAAAAAGACTAATTAGAAGTTATAATAAAAATCATTTTAAGATTGCAATTTACAATTACAACATGAATATAAAAGTAACAATAATTTTTTTTTAAACTAAAACAAAATATAAAGTATAATTGTATCTATAGATTATTGCTTCACTTGCGTTTAGCGAATGTTTAAAATATAAAATAGTTAATTTTCAACATATCTATAAGTTCAGTTTATTCTCATTTCAATCGAAAACTAAATATATTCAGGAAACCATGTGTTGAAAATTGATTTACGTTGCAGTCTGCAGACTTCTAACTTTCACCTAAAAACAGGCAATGATATATAATGAAAACATTGAAACAGTCAAGTTTAGAGCTATTACAACAAAGATAATAAACTAACCTTAAAAACGTATTCGTTTGAAATAGTCTGATCACCAGTTATTGACAAATAACTTCAGATACTAAGTGCATTTACATTGAATAAATATAAATTTAATTTTATTTTTTAAGCATAATTTAAAACATAAAAAACAACAAAGACATTGTTTAAATTGAAAAGCTATGAAAATAACTTTAAAAAAAAGCTATATAAAAATAAAGTCATATTGCGTGCCTTTTTAAAAAAATAAAACTTCATGTACAGTAACCTACCTTATTATACCTAATCCTTTAAAAATGGTTGAGGGGTTTATGAACAATAAAAAAAAATTGTTATTTCATTAAAAAAAGTATCTTTTATTTTAATTATAATTTAACAAATAAAATAGTATTAGAAAATGAGATACTTATATGCCAGGTTGGAAGTAAAACCGTAAAACCCACAGCAACTTAAGGGCAATGGTGAACCTTTTGCAAAGCATAAGCCTAAGACACAAGTGCACATCTGAAAAATAAAGAATCAGAGGAAAAACACATCAATAAAAATATGTTTTGATAAACTAAAATATAGTTTGTAAATTGAACATAGTTTTCACCATACAAAAAAAAAAAACATAGCCCAATATAATATACTATAAAAACTCCTTGAAAAATATAAAAAAGCAAACAATTGATTGAAATAAAACGGTTTAGTAAATAAGAATATAATTTTTTCTAATAAATTATTTGAAAGCATATAAAGAGCAAATAAATATGTTTAAAGAAAGTATGATTTAAATCCAGTTTGCAAACCAAACATCTATCTTATACCCATGGCAATAGTTGGATCATGGTCAACATAATTCTATGAAATATAACTCTGGTTGAGGTTTCCTGTAAAGAAATAATATTAAATCATAAATGTAACATTAAATTACAAGCATGTTTTAACGGAATTGTTAAAGCAATCCTTTAAAATAATGGCTTGTAAAATAAAAATTTTGTTAGATTTTTATTCATCTGCTTCACTGGTTAAATACCAAGTTAATTTAGCTTTCCATCAATAACTTTATATTTTAAAGCTTATAGTTATATTTAAATTTAATATAATCAAACAAATCAAACAGTAGACAGACTCCAGAACTTATATTTTGGATTTTTTTCAAAAATAACATTAAAATAATATCAAAATAATAAAATTAAATAAATATCAAAATAATAAAATTAACCTTACTTTATTCTCGGGCAAGATTCAATATCACGATTTAAATTTTCATTTACAATCTCATATACAAAAGGTTACTGTAAAAGGGAATGAATATGAAAAACACAGAAACAGTAATACTCATTGCACAAAAACTTTACTCTATTGAGTTTAAAAATTAAAATATTTAAAAATATATAAAATAGTTTTCAACAAAATAAAGGTAACAAATTTTTAAATAAAGATGCTTATTTTATTTAACAATATTATTCATCTTCTGAACTAAAAAATGCCTCTTTATTTAATTAATAAAAACTTGATGTAGGCATCACTTTTTTCTTGGCTTGTTTGTTTTTTTGGTCTTGTCTAACTTTTTTCCGCCATTGCGGTCTGATGCACCACGCAAAAAACGCACAACCTCATATTGAAAATCTGATTCAGTTGCTGAAGTTGTTGCAGGATTTCTTTTTACAGCTCCTAAAAATTAATTTAAGACTTTTATTTAACTATCTAGCAGGAAAACAAAAAATATATTTTTTAACTTAATTTTAGAAATATATAGAATTTTTTTTAAAGCTATTTATTAACAAATTTTATTTATCTATTTATTAATTTTTTATTTTTATATAGTTAATAAATAAATTTTATTTATTTATCAACTATTTATTAACAAATAGATTAGTAATTACTAAATTAGGCACAAGTAATTTTTAAATTAGAGTAACAAGCCCCTACAAAAAAAATTACTTTTAAGCAAGTGTAAGTCTTTGTTTTACAAAGTTACTTTCATTGTCATTTATAGTAATACCAGACCAGTTAAGTTTATAGCAGAGGTTATTAGTGAATAACGCAAAAGACATTCTCTGGACAGCCTCCTTTAAAGTCTGGCCTCCTTTACTTGCCACAGCTATTATCTACAAAAAATATATAGAAAAAGCATCAGTAATATATATACTGAAGAATATTTTTTAAAAAATTAAAAAAAAATAGATATCAAATTAATGCCATTAATTATTGCATAACATTTATTAATAGGCTTTATCTTATTTATTGTCCTTTATTTCCATTTATAAATGATCTAGCTGGTGTACCACAAATAAAAGCTGATATAGCAAACTTATATACTTTACCATTAATACTAATACTAGATTCAAATAAAGCAATACTTTCATTAACAAACATTTTTAGAAATTCATTACGGTTTTTTGGTTGAGACCTACTATAAAAAAGACCGATTATAAATGGGGTTTTATTGTGTTGAATATTGTTTATCCACATTTTTTAAACCTAATATTGGTTAAAACTGTCCAATGCTGCTTTTAAACAATGGTAAATCATCAATATTGACTTGAATTGGTATACAATCCTTTTTCTTTAAAAAACTTAAATTATTACTTAAAATACCTTGTCTAATGCCAATATTTAATATCAATAGATTACTGTCAGAGTTCACTTCACAATCAATATTATTTGCGCCTGAGGGAATAACACTCTCAGTTGAAAGTTTTCGATCTGATATACTTTTTAAATACAATGATTGTAGTTCTTCTGGTGAATGTGAAATATTGCTTGATTTAATGGTTAGATCTTTTAGGCAATATTCAACATCAGCTATTATCTTTCGTCGTTTTGTCCAAAAGGTATTGAAACTTAAATAAATTGTTTTATTTACTAAAGCTGCTACATATTTAAAAATGTATATATTATATATATGTGTGTGTGTGTGTGTGTGTGTGCGCGTGTGTGTGTGTGTGTGTGTGTGTGTGTGTGTGTGTGTATATATATATATATATATATATATATATATATATATATATAACTTCATATTAGTATAACATTGTTCTTGTTATATTAAAAGTTATATGACTAGTCATGTAACTTTTAATATAAAAAGAACAATGATATACTAATATAGTTATAAAACTGTTACATAACTGTAACAATTTTGTTAAAGTTATATATGTTTAAAATAAAATCAAATAAGAATTTTTAATTTTGAGTCTTATAAATATATATTGAACCTATATGTATATCTATACTTTATATCTATACTAAGTATAGATACAGATATAATATATAGTAATCTATATTAATTATATATATTATATACCCAGGTATATATATACCTGGGTATATATATATATATATATCCAGGTATATATATACCTGGGTATATAATATATATTAATAATATAGATAACTATATATTATATCTATATCTATACTTAGTATAGATAAAAAGTATAGATATACATATAGGTTCAATATATATTTATAAGACTCAAATTTAAAAATTCTAATTTGATTTTATTTTAAACATATATAACTTTAACAAAATTCTTACAGTATGTAACAATTTTATAACTATATTAGTATAACATTGTTTTTTTATATTAAAAGTTACGTAACTTTTAATATAAAAAGAACAATGTTATACTAATATAGTTATAAAATTGTTACATAACTGTAACAATTTTGTTAAAGTTATATATGTTTAAAATAAAATCAAATTAGAATTTTTAATTTTGAGTCTTATAAATATATATTGAACCTATATGTATATCTATACTTTATATATATACTAAGTATAGATATAGATATAATATATAGTAATCTATATTAATTATATATATTATATACCCAGGTAAATATATACCTGGGTATATATATATATATATATATATATATATATATATATATATATATATATATATATATATATATATATATATATATATACCCAGGTATATATATACCTGGGTATATAATATATATTCATAATATAGATTACTATATATTATATCTATATCTATACTTAGTATAGATAAAAAGTATAGATATACATATAGGTTCAATATATATTTATAAGACTCAAAATTAAAAATTCTAATTTGATTTTATTTTAAACATATATAACTTTAACAAAATTGTTACAGTTATGTAACAATTTTATAACTATATTAGTATAACATTGTTCTTTTTATATTAAAAGTTACATGACTAATCATATAACTTTTAATATAACAAGAACAATGTTATACTAATATGAAGTTATATATATATATATATATATATATATATATATATATATATATATATATATATATATATATATATATACACACGCACACATATATATAATATATACATTTTTAAATATATGTACCAGCTATAGAAAATAAAACAATTTATGTAAGTTTCAATAGTGAGCTTTTGGACAAAACGACGAAAGATAATAGCTGATGTTGAATATTGCCTAAAAGATCTAACTCTTAAATCAAGCAATATTTCACATTCACCAGAGGAAGTACAATCATTGTATTTAAAAAGTATATCAGATCGAAAACTTTCAACTGAGAGTGTTATTCCATCAGGTGCAAATAATATTGATTGTGAAGTGAACTCTGACAGTAATCTATTGATATTAAATATTGGCATTAGACAAGTTATTTTAAGTAATAATTTAAGTTTTTTAAAGAAAAAAGATTGTATACCAATTCAAGTCAATATTGATGATTTACCATTGTTTAAAAGCAGCATTGGACAATTTTGACCAATATTAGGTTTAAAAAATGTGGATAAACAATATTCAACACAATAAAACCCCATTTATAATCGGTCATTTTTATAGTAGGTCTAAACCAAAAGACCGTAATGAATATCTAAAAATGTTTGTTAATGAAAGTATTGCTTTATTTGAATCTAGTATTAGTATTAATGGTAAAGTATATAAGTTTGCTATATCAGCTTTTATTTGTGGTACACCAGCTTGATCATTTATAAATGGAAATAAAGGACAATAAATAAGATAAAGCCTATTAATAAATGTTATGCAATAATTAATGGCATTAATTTGATATCTTTTTTTTTTTTAATTTTTTAAAAAATATTCTTCAGTATATATATTACTGATGCTTTTTCTATATTTTTTTGTAGATAATAGCTGTGGCAAGTAAAGGAGGTCAGACTTTAAAGGAGGCTGTCCAGAGAATGTCTTTTGCGTTATTCACTAATAACCTCTGCTATAAACTTAACTGGTCTGGTATTACTTTAAATGACAATGAAAGTAACTTTGTAAAACAAAGACTTACACTTGCTTAAAAGTAATTTTTTTTGTAGGGGCTTGTTACTCTAATTTAATAATTACTTGTGTCTAATTTAGTAATTACTAATCTATTTGTTAATAAATAGTTGATAAATAAATAAAATTTATTTATTAACTATATAAAAATAAAAAATTAATAAATAGATAAATAAAATTTGTTAATAAATAGCTTTAAAAAAAATTCTATATATTTCTAAAATTAAGTTAAAAAATATATTTTTTGTTTTCCTGCTAGATAGTTAAATAAAAGTCTTAAATTAATTTTTAGGAGCTGTAAAAAGAAATCCTGCAACAACTTCAGCAACTGAATCAGATTTTCAATATGAGGTTGTGCGTTTTTTGCGTGGTGCATCAGACCGCAATGGCGGAAAAAAGTTAGACAAGACCAAAAAAACAAACAAGCCAAGAAAAAAGTGATGCCTACATCAAGTTTTTATTAATTAAATAAAGAGGCATTTTTTAGTTCAGAAGATGAATAATATTGTTAAATAAAATAAGCATCTTTATTTAAAAATTTGTTACCTTTATTTTGTTGAAAACTATTTTATATATTTTTAAATATTTTAATTTTTAAACTCAATAGAGTAAAGTTTTTGTGCAATGAGTATTACTGTTTCTGTGTTTTTCATATTCATTCCCTTTTACAGTAACCTTTTGTATATGAGATTGTAAATGAAAATTTAAATCGTGATATTGAATCTTGCCCGAGAATAAAGTAAGGTTAATTTTATTATTTTGATATTTATTTAATTTTATTATTTTGATATTATTTTAATGTTATTTTTGAAAAAAATCCAAAATATAAGTTCTGGAGTCTGTCTACTGTTTGATTTGTTTGATTATATTAAATTTAAATATAACTATAAGCTTTAAAATATAAAGTTATTGATGGAAAGCTAAATTAACTTGGTATTTAACCAGTGAAGCAGATGAATAAAAATCTAACAAAATTTTTATTTTACAAGCCATTATTTTAAAGGATTGCTTTAACAATTCCGTTAAAACATGCTTGTAATTTAATGTTACATTTATGATTTAATATTATTTCTTTACAGGAAACCTCAACCAGAGTTATATTTCATAGAATTATGTTGACCATGATCCAACTATTGCCATGGGTATAAGATAGATGTTTGGTTTGCAAACTGGATTTAAATCATACTTTCTTTAAACATATTTATTTGCTCTTTATATGCTTTCAAATAATTTATTAGAAAAAATTATATTCTTATTTACTAAACCGTTTTATTTCAATCAATTGTTTGCTTTTTTATATTTTTCAAGGAGTTTTTATAGTATATTATATTGGGCTATGTTTTTTTTTTTTGTATGGTGAAAACTATGTTCAATTTACAAACTATATTTTAGTTTATCAAAACATATTTTTATTGATGTGTTTTTCCTCTGATTCTTTATTTTTCAGATGTGCACTTGTGTCTTAGGCTTATGCTTTGCAAAAGGTTCACCATCGCCCTTAAGTTGCTGTGGATTTTACGGTTTTACTTCCAACCTGGCATATAAGTATCTCATTTTCTAATACTATTTTATTTGTTAAATTATAATTAAATTAAAAGATACTTTTTTTAATGAAATAACAATTTTTTTTTATTGTTTATAAACCCCTCAACCATATTTATAGGATTAGGTATAATCAGGTAGGTTACTGTACATGAAGTTTTGTTTTTTTAAAAAGGCACGCAATATGACTTTATTTTTTTATAGCTTTTTTTTAAAGTTATTTCCATAGCTTTTCAATTTAAACAATGTTTTGGTTGTTTTTTATGTTTTAAATTATGCTTAAATAATAAAATTAAATTTATATTTATTCAATGTAAATGCACTTAGTATCTGAAGTTATTTGTCAATAACTGGTGATCAGACTATTTCAAACGAATACGTTTTATAAGGGCTGAGAAGGTTAGTTTATTATCTTTGTTGTAATAGCTCTAAACTTGACTGTTTCAATGTTTTCATTATATATCATTGCCTGTTTTTAGGTGAAAGTTAGAAGTCTGCAGACTGCAACGTAAATCAATTTTCAACACATGGTTTCCTGAATATATTTAGTTTTCGATTAAAATGAGAATAAACTGAACTTATAGATATGTTGAAAATTAACTATTTTATATTTTAAACATTCGCTAAACGCAAGTGAAGCAATAATCTATAGATGCAAATATACTTTATATTTTGTTTTAGTTTAAAAAAAAATTATTGTTACTTTTATATTCATGTTGTAATTGTAAATTGCAATCTTAAAATGATTTTTATTATAACTTCTGATTAGTCTTTTTGTTCACCAAGCTTAAGCCTTGCCACGTATGACCTAATAGTTTACAGTTAGGGTAGTGTTTTTCGGTGGTAGGAGAATTTTAGTATAATAAGTTCGTATTTTGTCTATATACCTATGCACAAAGTCAAAAGATATTTGATGTGTCTTCCAGGCATTGGCAGGATTTGCATTTTTTTATGACTAAAAATTTTAGCCGAGAGATATAAAGATTTTTGCTAACAATAAGTGCGTTCTATTCAAACAAAAAAATAATTATATTTATATCAATGCACTCAAATCTTAGTCAAAACTTATAGATCTTATGCTATTCCGCTATGGTTTTATCATCGTTTAGCCGCTGACGGACCGTTGTTCAAACATTGTCAATTTGCCGCCATAGGTCCGTTGTCAAACCGCCTTCAGTTTTCCGCTAACGGACCGATGTAAATACGATGTGCAAGCCAACGCGGCAACGTAACGGGCGGCCTACGTCGGCGCGGCATAAGTGCTGACAGCGGTCCGTTATCGGAAAGCCTGATTGATGTTTGCTGATATGATATCAGCATAACATTTATACAAACGATAGTATAATAACCTAACATTTATACAAACATTTATACAAACCAAAATATTATAACATTTAGTTATAATAACAAAATACATTTTGTAAAATTTATTTTTGCTTTTATAGTACCATCATGGATAACGAAAAAAATATTTAAATAATGGCAATTATTGCAAAACGACATTCGGCCAAAACTCTGTAAAACCGCAATCGGCCATTTCTAGTCTGAAATCTAATGCTGTCGTAGTGGCTTACGACTTCGCCCGATTTCTAGCGATCATAGTCCTAAGAAATAGATAGTCTGGAAGCAAACAATAACCGATAGTTTTAACTTATTGCATGCAATTTTTGCTATCTCCAGATCTCCAACCCTGCACAAGTTTTTAAATATCCTGTTGTTTATCTTAGGGTTAGAACTATTGTAATTGTAATGAAAACAATAACAGTAACAATAACTATTGTTATTGTATTAACTTAATTTAGAAACAGTAACAATACTTGTGATTTACAACTATTGTAATAATGCAATACAATAACAATAAATATTTTATTTCAAATCATCTTTATAAAACAATATCAATATCTGAAAAAAAAATGTATTGTAATGACCCACTACAATAACAATAAATATTGTATTGTAATTCGTCTTTATAATAACAATATATTGTTATTGTAGTAAAAAAAATTATTTTAGGGTCAAAATCTAATAATCTTTTAACAGTCCAGTCTCTGAAATAAGTGACCTTGAAATAGGGAACAACTAATATAAAAGTATTGATTCTGTTTCTTTTTTATTTTATAAACTTTATATAGCTTTGTAAAAGTGAATTTAATCGGGCCTGTATTTCTTTTAGTGCTGGGGATAGACATAATTAACTTCTACCATTTATTCCACTAAGTTATTTGCTTTTACATTAGGCACCTATCCAATTGTTTCGAAACTTACTTAACTCACACTTACTCTAATATAACTTTGTCTTTTGTTTCCCTTCGGCTTTATGGCTGAATGTGTTTCACAAAGTAACTGGACATCTAGTTGCAAAGTTATAAAAGAGTTTTGTTACATAAATCAAGAACAATATTTATTTGGTGTTCTAAACTTCCTCATTTTTCAAAAATGATCCACACAAAATTTACTGGTACGGTCTGATAGGTGATGAACAATCTAAAAATGTAGAAAATTTTTTAACAAAACAAAAGTAGCTCACATTTTTAGACAATCTAATTGATAATTACTCAAGTCAATGGCTCTTTGATTCCATAACGATGTAATTTATTACACATTAGCGGTTACTCGGTGTAGTTAAGGCCGTTTTAAAATATTAAAGAGTCTGTATGATATTTTGCCAACCACAACATGTTTTTATCAAATGATATGGTTTATGACAATTATGACAAATTCTTTGAATTGTGACAAATCGTAAAAATGAATTTTTATATTTTGCCGTTCTTGTCAAATCCTTTATATTATTTAGCATTATAGCTTTATTTTTATTATAAGTTTGCATTATATAGTTTATATAAGAGAAGAGTATATTTTTTCTGCCCTATGTAGCAGAGTTCTTTATTTATGTATATTTTTATATGTATCTTCAGTTTTAATAAGATACGTATAACATTATGACACATATTATTTGTCAAATAAAATTTATTTCAGGCCAGTTGATCATTATATTAGTTATGTGCTAATTATGTTATGATAATTAGTTATGTGCTAATTATTATCCCACAAGTAACTTCTTTTACATTGTCAAAATATTTGTAAACGTAATAACTTAATCTCCTATTATATTTTCATGTTGTTATTTAGAGCTAATACTGTTGAAATATAGATGTTTTTAGTAATTCTACATGACTGAAATCTATTTTTGTTATAATTATTTAACGAAAATAGAAATGAACATTGATTCACCATAATCAAGGTTTAAATAGTAATTCTATATTATAACATAATTGTATATATGCAGACGTCTGCAATTTGTCTAGACAATATGCATTGAATACTTAAACATATAGTACTTGCACACAAATGGTTATACTTTGTTTTTGTATACAAAATGTATTTTTTGTATTTTTTTTTACATTAATAAAATTTTTGTAATAACTCTAGTTATTATTATCTTTTTTTTTTTATTTTTAGAGCAAAAACAGTTGAAAAATGGATGTAATTTAGTAAATTTACATGACTGGAATTTACTTTTTTAATCATTATTTAAAGAACATAAAAATTAACATTGATTCGATACAAATAAGGTAAGGAAGAAATATACTATATCTTCATACATGATGACAAATTGCATTGCAACACATACTGTATGTATGTAACACATCATAAATATATACGATACATTCATTCAAATTAATGTGTTTTTTCATATATAATAAAAGAGAACAAAATTTTGTGATCATATTTTTTTATGTTTAGTTTATCTGCAGCAGCATATATGCTGTTGCAGATAAGCTAAACATTTTTAGATTATCAGCAGAAAAGACTTAGCTTTAGAAATTTAGCAGTTCCAGTTATTGATTTTTTTTTATATCATTTATAATATTTTATTACAATATTTAAATTTTTAAAAAAAACGTTACTTTGAAAAAAATACATATAATAAATAGTCATTGCTTTTCAATGACCAATAAAAATCATGTTTAAAGCCGCATGTTAAAAAGAAAGGTTTTAGAAAAACAATGTTTTTTTTATAATAATTTTATTATTTGAAAATCAATAATATTATATTCAAATATTTTAGTTATTTTCAGATGTTTGGCAAAAACATAAAATAGATAAAAAGTTATTTTTATATTTAAAATTTTTTACTTCTCGATTACTCATCTTTTTTTATCATTGCATTCCTGTGCAGTGCTAGAAATTAAAAAGAATGTCATCCCATCGCCTTTTTTTTAAGTATAAATTATCCCACAACTTTTCTTACTTTTCATAATATAACAACACATAATTGAATTTTTAAGTTATGCTTTGTATGAAATAAGGTTTCTGATGAAATTTTTGTTATTAGTGGATCTTAGAAGATAATTTTTATATATGCAAAACCATATCAAGAATAATATTTTCTATATAAGGTTGAAAAGTGCATCATTTTGTTGTTTAATACAACTTGGAAAGTCAGACTAAACAATTTTAAATATAACTTTTTTTTTTTTTATAAAAATAGAAAAACAAAATACACCCTAAACCGTGCGTTACATAAAGAAAAGTTTCAATGTATCTAAATCTAATCTAAAATAAAAGACTAATGTTTAATTATTTTTTTTAAACTAAGATAAATTTTTCTCCATTATAGGTTAAGCTTACTGAAAAACATAACACTTTTTTATTATGTCAAAGATCAACAAGAAAAAGAAAGAATCTAAATCAGACTAAATAATAAAGAAAACCCATGCCTCACCCTTGAACCAATAATACAAAGACTTTTTTTTAACAGAATTTTTTGTTGTTGTGTAACTACGCAAAAAGAAAAGGCTACTCATTTGCCGAAATTTCTTATTCAAAATGTTTAATTATATCCAAGAATTTTATAATAGAACCATCTGCACTGTCAACTTTGATTTGAAAAGCTGGTATTAACAGGTTTGCATTAAGTAAACATACCTCCCAGCATTTTCTAACACAATCAATTTCTTTCTTTATGGTTGCTGACCGAAAATGGCGACATCGATTTTTACTTGTTATCACTTTTTGTTTGCCAAAATACGTTCTCTTTAACAAGGTAATCAGCTTTTTTCTTCAACAGTGACTCATAATCATCTGGATGAGACTTTATCATTGAAAATGGTATGATAGTATTGCCACTGTTTTGAATACAAATATTTTTGTAAAGTTTGGAAATTGATGATTCAATTTGACTTTTTGGGTTTTTGTCTTTTAGTTCCTCAGATACTTGAATTCTTTTATTTCTTCTTTCTCAGCATTGTCGGCACGTCCTTAAATAACTCTCAGCTGGTCTGGAGTATGCATAAATAGGCAGTGAAATTATTTTCCATTGAATTTCCTTTTAGTCAAAATATTAGGATTAGAACCAATGCCGCTCGATAATCTGCGGCTCGACTTGATTCTTTTCCGTCAAATGCTGCTTTAATTACTTTTTCAAGTTGTTACACTCTGACTTTAAAAAATGAGACGGTAGTTCAATAAAGTTTTTAATATATTTAAAAATGTCGTCGAGAGGTTCCATTAGCAGTTCATAATTTTGTAAACCATGATCTTTAAATAGTGATTCAGGTTCAAAAAAAATTAGGCTTGGTACTCT